GTTGTGGGGTTGTTAACCAATGTCATAAAACAACATGTGTACTACTGTTTCATGAGAAACTATTTGTTCTGTAAGCCTTCACCTGAAGTACGATAAAATATTTAAAAAAAAAAAAAAGGGGGTGTTCCTGACTTCAAATGGACACTAAAGAAAGCTGCTGCATATCTAGGCAGGTGGGGGAGGACAAGGACAGTCTTAAAGGTAAGCTAAAGTAGCCACTGGTTCATTGTCTGGTTTGGACTTTCCCCAATAGTACTGAGGGATCAGATCCTCCAGTGCCAAATATAAGGCCAGATTTTGTCCTGGAGTTCTAGGGCTTCCATGGAGGCAACCATTAAACTACAAGTTAGGGAATGGTGTACTCCAGAAGAACTGGACAGAGAGAATGACCAAAAAGGATGTTCACATAATAATGGATAAGAATTTTCCAGAATTGAAAGTCTTCAGTCTTCAGACTGAAAGTATAACTTGAGTTTTGAACAGAATAAAAAAAAATAAATCCATTTTAATATGCGTTGTAGTAAGACCATTGATTAAAAAAAAGATAGCCTAGGAAAAGACATATTACCTATATAAGTGGCAGTAGATGCCAGAAAACAAAGTGCTGAGCAAAATAATTCTTACAGTAATACTTACAATTCTATACCCAGCTAAGAATTTACCACACTTGTGCTTTTGCTGAAAAAAAAAAAAAAAAATCCTTTAAAGATACATTTCACCAAGAAATTGTGAACCCAGAGGCGAGATACAGAATTATATTGGTAATTAACTGTTTAATAATTTATTTATATGGAAACAAATCTGTCTTGAAAGAAGTACAACCAGAATGCTCCTTAGAAGGGAGAATGGCAAAACTTCATCTTACATATTTTACACATGTTATCAGGAGGGACCAGTCCCTGGAGAAGGACATCATGCTTGGTGAAGCAGAGGATCAGTGAAAAAGAGGAAGACTCTCAATGAGATGGATTGACACAGTGGCTGCAACAATGAGCTTAAACATAGCACTGATTGTGAGGATGGCACAGGACTGGGCAGTGTTTCATTCTGTTGTATTAGGGTGGCTATGAGTCGGAACCAACTCGACGGCACCTAACAACAACAACAACAAAATCCCAGACAATAATAACAAGATAGCTGTAGGGATGTTCAGTGATAAAGCGTGTTCAGGAGAAATATTGAGATGTTGAATAAGATTAGACTTAGGGAAATTTATAGTTGAGTATGATGGGGGCAGTGGTAGAATTCTCGCCTTCTTCGCAGGAGACCTGGGTTGAAGTTCCAGCCAGTGTGCTTCATTTACAGCCACCACCCATCTGCTACTATGATGCTTGAACAGGTTTCAGCAGAGCTTACAGACTAAGATGCACTAGGAAGAAAGGCCTGATGATCTACTTCCAAAAATCATCCAGTGAAAACCCTATGGATCACAATGGTCCAGTCCTCAACTGATCACGGGGATGGCACAGACCAGGAAGCATTTCATTCCATTGTGCATGTGGTCTCCATGAGTCAGGGAGCAACTCTACAGCGACTAACAACAATAGTATAATAAGAACCAAAGGGTAAGCCATTAAAAGAATAGAAATATAATCTATGGCTTCCATATAAATAGAGTAAAAAATGATTATAGAAAACTGTTAGTGCAACTGAAGGCAGGTAAGAAGAAATCATGTGAAATAAGATGGTAGAAATAAGTTCTAATATATCAATAATGAAAATAAGTATAAAAAACGAGATCTCATATTGAATTTTTAAAAATTCTGCTAACAAGAAAAGTGTATCTGGAGATTATACTAATCATGTGAAATTTTCAGCCAGGTTCTGCTGTCAGCAACAAATGGCTTTATCTGCTTTTCTCACAATTACAAATACATTGAGTCAGAGAAAGGAAATATTGCCTTGTGATTTCACAGATTCTGTCATTAGTTAATCAGGGTTCATAGAGGCTTCAAACTACCATCCGTTAATTCTCCCAGCTCTTGAGGAAATTTTCATTGTGCTAATGCTGATTGAAATTCTGAGCTGCCTTTAAAGCAATCCCAGATTCAGGCTTCTGAGGGTGTTAAAGATCATCTAAGTATGTGACTCTTAAATTCAAAGGCTAAATTTCCTTTTGGATTGTTTTTCAAGGATTTTCAAATGCCTATATCAGGAAACGGCAATGGGTTTTAATGGGTTTGTATCAGGAAATATTTTTACTTTCCATATCGCAGCTCCCCTATTTGTCAACTTCTTTTATTCTGACCTCTAAGATGGGGTTCACATTTTAATTACAGTTACGTATAGCAGCGTCCATCTCCCATAGCCAGTCAGCTTATAGTTGTGAAGAAAGAGAAGGAGAGATCCTAATACAGGACTTCTTTTTAACGAGCTAACGTGATATTTTTCTTTTTACAATTAGACTCTCTAAATAATAATCTGTTGCAATCATTGGTTTTATAAATTATTAAATATTGTAAGTCTTCTGTTTTGATAGCCCTTTTATCACTTTATGCATTAACAATTTATTTTTATTTAAATGTCTTTATTATTCACATACGCTTATAGCCAGAGGGACTTGATACAGTTTATGCAAGCAGTAAAGATTTGCTGTTTATTCTCTTATCTTCATTTAACTGCAGATGAAATATTGGTTGTCCAGGAAAAATCATCCCTAATGGATTATTTATACTCTTCCCTCTTATCTCTGTGGGTCTCTCTCCTCGCAGCTCTACTCTCCCTAAGACTTACATCTTAAACTTTCTAGCTCATTTCGACTACAGTTATCAACAGATTAAGCAGATTTTATCTTGTTGGATAATGTTCATAAGGAGTGATCTGGTTGGCTATCCTTAGGAGCCTTGGTGGTACAGTTAAGAGCTTGGCTGCTAACCAAAAAGTCGGCAGTTCGAATCGACCAGGTGCTCCTTGGAAACCCCATGGGTCAGTTCTATTCTGTCCTATAGGGTTGCTATGAGTCAGAATGTACTCGAAGGCAATGGGTTTGGTTTTTCTTTCGTTTGTAGTAATAATCAAAAGCCCAAACTTATTTTTGTTAAGGTATAAGGATCTAAAATTTTTATTTGATTTACACCAGAAGCATATATACATAGTTTTATAACTGGAAATGTAGCCTCTTTTTACCTCTTATATAACCTTACAGACAACAGTTGCCCTCTGTAGATCTGTCTAGAGAACATTTTACATTTCTCAGTGAAAATTATCATTTGCTGCTGCTGGTAAATTCTTGCTCTGACCCTAGCTGAAATCACTGCAGTCTGAAGCTATTCCATAACACAGTGAATCTCAGAATTTATTTTTTCAACTGATAATTCTAGCTCTGGATTCTGTGACATTTGCCCAAAGGGAAACACCGGTCCCTTGGATTACACTGTGCATCCATTGTCTGAACTGTCACAGCAATAGCGCGTAAAGCTGTTTGCATAGCATGCTAACTCTATCGGGGTCAGTTCCAGTCTGTAGCCGCTAAAAATGAAAACCATGCCCCAACCGGGACAAGAGCAGGGTCAACAGCTGGCAAAGGATATGGCAATCATTTATATAAATATGCTTTCTCAAGCCCACAAAAACAAAAAACCCCAACCCAACAGCTGGGAAGGGTTGGAAGTAGCCCCAAGGCTGGTTAGTCCCCTTCCAGATGGGGAGGTTAGGCTGGGGCTAGCCAGACTGCTCCACATAGACTTCCGATTCGTATTAGAAATGAAAAGAGGAGAGGAAGGGGAAAAGGAAGAAAGGCCACAAGCATGACTGCTCTGTTTTTCACCTAACTTAATCAAATAAGTGAAGACTTTCCAAGACGGAAGGCTTGTATTTATCGGTATTCACGCTCCGTTTTTTCTGTTTATCATAGTGTCTAATACACTTCTTAACTGCTTAAACAGAAAGCGTATATGCTCTAAAGTATAGTTTATATATAATGTCATGGTTATTTGTAGACAGATTGAAGAACCAATCTCAGATTTATGTCCTGTTTACATCTTCCAAACACTTATGTAGAACATTCAATGCTAGAGAAGATAATAATTGTGGTGTTGGCTTACTCCCAGAATTTTATCCAAGGGATAGGGTTCATTTTTGTAATTTGATTTATTTTATAATACATAGTTATTGCACATCTAATATATCCAACAGAATAATGAATACCATTTTCCCGGGTTCATTTTAAGGTTGCATACCATGAGGCAAAGTATTATTTTTATAACCTGTTGATGCTTTAAGAGGCAAAAGAGGAGAGTATAAGACTTTCAGAATCTTCCAGAGTGACATAGTAAAATAGGACACCACAATGATGATGAAAAATTTGTTTTCATTATCTAGAAATGGGCAGCCTCTTTCTAATAATGGAGAGTTCTGCTGACGCCAAATGAATGGTAAGCAGCACTTTCCTTCTCTCCAGCCTTCTTATATTTGCTAAGGGAAAGCTTACAAAATGAATACATTTTTTAGGTGTAGCGTGAGCTCATGATATCAGAGTGCATAGACATAAATCAGTGTCATTGCCTTAGAGAATGTGCTGGTCTCACACAGAAGTTAAATAATGCATTTTCTCTCCTGTAGTGATCTGCCTGAAACAAATATTCTAGCCTTACTCAGAGAGTCATTGTTATTAGCTGTCATCAAGTTGGCTCTGACTCATGGCAACTTTATGTATAACAGAATGAAGTGTTGCCCGGTCCTGTGCCATCTTCATGATAGTTGGTATGTTTTGAGTCCATTGCTTTGGCTGTTGTGTCGATCCATCTCATTGAGGGTTTTCCTCATTTTTGCCTACCCTGTACTTTACCAAACATGGTATCCTTTTCTAGCAATTGGTCTTTCCTAATGACATGTCCAAAGTAAGCAAGTCAAAGTCTTGCCATCCTCACTTCTAGGAGCACTCTGGTTGTATTTCTTCTAAAACTGATTTGTTCATTTTTCATAGAATGTCAAAACTAGAAGGAACTTTAGTGATCATTGTAGATACCTTCTTTCAGCTTACTGCCAGAGTAGTGGAGATCCAGAAAGGTAAAATGTGCAGCTGGAGGATGCTGTGAACCCCTTCATCAGATAGGCATTCTCCAGCTGCACATGCAGAGAACCCTGCACTGAGAAAGCATAGTGCCAAGCCAAGCTGGATACCGACCTGCCGAAGACTTGAATTATCAAAGCTTTCTGCTGTTCCTAGATATATCCAGATTGACTATATAGTTGTTAGCTTTCTGCTTTTATTTGTTCCATGGCCGTAAAGTGTCAAAGCGAGTTTTGTTTAAGCATGAACATTTTATAAGAAATTTTGATGGTTTCTAGATTATGTGTTGGTCAGATATTTCCGTGGATGATTAATAAGATGAATATGTTAGGTATTGGCTCTGAGAGTCTATTCCCTCTATCTTTGTGCTTCTCGATTTTAAGCTTTTGAAGGCAATAAAACTAGGTCTTATTCATGTTTGTATCCACTAAGTCTGACACATATGAGTACCCAGTGAATGCTTGCTTATGTGAAATTAAATAAAGTGCAGGAAATGCTGATTTCCAAGTCATCCATTTATTTAAATGTTTTCTTCTGTGATACCTGTAGCTATTTTAATCTAAAAATTTGGGGGGGAGGTGAGTGTACTTTTTATTACCTTAATTTACATAATAGATAAGTTATGTTTTGTGGGAAAGGGAGAGAATGGCAAAGGTGTTTCTCACTAGTTTGTCGTTGTTATTCCTGCCATCTTTTTTTTCTGTTACCATGCTCTTTTTTAAGTTTCTGTGCATTTGTTTTTAGTTAATTTATTTGATTTAAATACACTGATCAATTCGCAAACATTTTCTGTAACATTCATTAAGTATAAAGGCAAGACAGAGGTTTAGAGATGTGCTCAGAATTTAAGAACTAGTGGTTTAATTTCCTGACTCTGAAAGTCTAAATGTTTCCTTAGATTGATGCAGATTAGTTTAACATAATTAGAAGTTTGAAAGGTGCCTGCTTCTAAAGCTTTTAAAATGATGATAGTTAGAAATCACTGCTTCTTCCCTGATGACTGATGCCTTTAATTCATGTTTACAAGCTCCAAAGACTTTTAATATATTTTATCCTACTCTGATTAGCAGTAATACAGAACTGAAACCACCGTTTTCTCTATCCTGGAATTCTTAGTTGGAAAAAAAAAAAGTATCCTGGAGATTCTGCCCCTCCTGAACTTAGTTAAGGCAGCTTTTGCCTCTTATTTTTATATTTCTTAACCTTTACCAATCTATAATACAGCTGTGGTATTGCTGGGATATACCAGGAAGACATTCCTTCTTTCCACTTCCTCTCCCTCTTTTTCGCCATCTGTGCACCATGTACAACCACATAATACATATGTTTATATCAGTTCTATTGTATGGATTGTATATGCTGCCAGCCAGCCACGCTCTTTCCTGTCCACACCGCCGCAGCTATGACCACATCCTTCTCAAACCTTAGAAAAAGAGAGAGGAAACCAGTGCGTGCTGTTACACTAATGATGTTTTGACAGTATTCTGACTGCAACTTCCCTGCCTTAATTTAATGGCAAATAAAACCTCTCACAACCAAATTTAGAATGTGACTGACACCATTGTTTAAATGTGTGAGATTCATCACGGTTATCTAATGCTCCATCTTTTTCCTTCTAATCTGTGGCATGGAATAAAAACTATGATGAACAAGTGAAAAGAAGTACTTTCAGGGTAGGCAAATGTTGATTTTAAACATTGAAACCAAACGGTAATGAATTATTAATACTACAGTTCTCTTCTCTAACAAAAGTGACAGCTTAATTTTGATGGGATCCCTATGATCTTTTAAGTGTATTCATGCCAGTAGTGTTGTCCTCAGCATTAGATCCTATCTCTATTCCTTTTCAAAAAGCCCAGTTAAAGTAAGGTTGCTTGAAACTACCTGAAAACATCTTTCTAGACTTCCACCTTATTGCAGGGCCCTGGGGTCGTAACCTCTTAACCTTACAGGTTATCGGTCTCTTGCTTTTTGATCCTTTTTGTTCTTAGTTTTTGCCTACTTCCTCTACAACATTCAAGCTTTGTTATATAAGGAAATTGGAAACACCAATTTTGGATGAGATAAGAGTTACCCTCTCTTCCAGAGTAATGCAAAAAGATGATTTTAAATAGAAACATGCTTGGGAAAAAATGAGCAAAACTAACTACAGCATCCTGACTAAGCCAGTTTGAAGTAGAGTGCCTTTATTTCTTATCCTCTCTTTAGAAACAAAAAGAAAGGAGAAAAAAAAAAACCAAAACATAGGACTTACTGTTGACTTAGTGGGAAAATCTTTAGGTCACAAAGCAGCTTGGCTTGATACATCAACAAAGAAAGTCAGAGTGGTCTGAGTGAATGAGAAGCGGGTTAATAAAATTGGTTGGTTAGCCTATTACAACTAACGTTGTTGTGGAACTACTGTGGACAAAGCATCATCACATTTATTATTTTATAGCCATAGCAACTTAGAGAGAGATTATGACCCTCATTTCATAGTAGAAGAACGTGAGCTTCAGAAAAGAACCTCAACTTGCCCAAGGCCACGTAGTAAATAAATGAAGGAGCTGGGTGTAGAATGTTAGCCTCCTGGCTTCTGATACTTGACAGACGCAGAAACATTCGTATTCGAGAAGCTTTAGGACTGGAGCAAATCTCTTTTGATTCTCAACCACAGTAGTAGTAAGATATGCTCAGGTATTTAGTTAGCTGGCTAGCTCTCTCATTACATTAATATCTTTTTACTATTATCTTGCTTCTGTGTCAGCTAATATTTTGGTTTTGTTTTTTTGCTACACCCATAGGGCCTGATACAGTTAGACTGAATTTATAATTCTCCAAATAAAAAAAGTTCTCTGAGCCTAATAATCAAGTACTGAAATTCCCAATAGATTTGGAAAATGTACTTTTTTTTTTAATGATACCACTCCACTCTCCTCCCTCAGCCCAAGAATCCCCATTAGAGTGGAAAAAGAAAAAAACCCTCACACAGGATTTCAAAGCCAAATGAAGAGCTCTGTGTCCTTTTTTGAGAGAACAGGTGTTTGTCTTTGATCCTTACTCATCCTTCGAGCGAGAAAAAGAAGACAAATCATACAAAAAGAAACCACTATAGGTCGTTATTCAGTTGTCTTTTAGTTTAATTAAAATTGAGATCTTGCTTTTAAAAAACGTTAAGGTAAACTTTAACCCAAAGGTAAACCCAGTGACAGCAATGTATCTTCTCAAATGTAGATTACCTGATATTCACAAGTATCTAGCAAAGTCAGACTGAGAAGGCCTGTGAACAGTAATCATATTTCATCCCTTATTAATCACGCACTTGTCTGACTCACAAGAGCACTGAAATATGTGTGTGTGTGTTCTGAATTTGATTTGATTTGATCTGGTTTGCCAGCTGAATAAGGGGGCAAAGAATGTAATGTGGAAGCCATCCATTGCCACTGGAGAAAGGATCCAAGAGTAATTCCTCAAGCTGGGAACATGAGCTGTGAGCAACATGTTTAAATAGCAAAAATATCCAAAGTTTGAGTCAGTCCATTTATTTTGGGGTGTGCACTCTCTTCTTTGAGGCTTAAAGGAGTGTCTTTGACTTAGACTCTTAACAAATGTAGTGCTAGAGGAGGTGAGAGACTTGGAGCCCTGGAGAGTCTGCCCAGGTTGTGGTTAATAGTGACAGAGAGTGGTGTGGATCCCTTCATGAAGTGCATTCCTTCCATGTTCAATCAGAAAAAGCCATTGACTTTTTAAGAAAGGCTTTCCTGTGCACTTCAATATGGGAAAGAGGTAGGAGGAAGGAAGCTAACATTTAGCACTTTTATTGTGCCAGACACCATTCCAGGTACTTTCCAGAAGCATCACATTTAATTCTGTCAACAATCCTCGTAGGTTGTGATTATTATCCCCATTTTGCAGATGAGAAAAGTGACAATATCTCAAATGACTTGCCCAATGTAACACAGCTAATTAAGGTTGGAGTCAGGATTTGATCCCGATCCGACTCCACAGCCCATGCTTTCTCAACTGCCTTGAAGCATTACTTAAAGCGTATATTAGAGTTCTCAACAAAGAGTTTACTTTTCTTCTCATTTTCCTTGTTTTTCTTCACCAGGGGCTGTCTGGGCCAACTACGTCTATTGGTTAGAATAAGATGCCATCGGGCCCAAAATCTTGTTTGATGTCTGGATAGAATAAGTTGAGTTTTTACAAAGCAAAACTGAGAATTAGATAGCATCACCTACCATTGTCACAGACTGTGAGAGACAAGCTAACAGTGTTACTGACTCAGTGCCAACCCAGAAAAACAACTCAAAGGTACATGTCCTGTTGCTCATAGATGGTTTAAATGTTCTAAAAGAAAAACAAGTAACACATTAATAGGAGAAAGAGCCTGAACAACTCATATACTAAGCCAGTAGCCCTTCAACATTGAAGATTACTCTTATGTATCTGTCCTATTTCAATTCAGGTAAGCAAGATACTAAATTTTCTCTAAACATGTTTATATGTTTATATTTATGGTATCAGCATTGTGACTGTGTGATGTTCCTCTGCTGTGAATCAGGGCTCATATTAAATTTTGTATGATTACTGGAGAAGTTCACTGATGACTATGCTTATTACATCTCTCTTTAAACAAACAAACAAAAATTGTAGCTCCTAGTTCTAAAAGGAAAGAGTTTTCTCCTCATAATTCCAATGCATTTTCTTTCCTTTTTATTAATGTCAGTGCCTTACTGTGTCCATCTTTGGTCTTTACTAGTTGTAGTCAGCGGATATAGACTTCTGTCTGTTTTACTTTTTTTCACTTAATATTTTAAAAATATACATTTTCATCTATCATCATACTTCTCATTTTAAGAATTTTTTAAAACCATTAATTATTCTTCTTTCACACTCTAGTTTAAGTACATAGTAATAGTCTCTGTGTGGGCAGATTGAGCTTGGTGTGAAGAAAGAATATGACTTTTTTTTTTTTTTAATCATTTTTGGAGAGTAAAGAAAATCAACTGATTGATTAATTAATTGATAGAACTAACTGTCCAATCCAGTCAGGAAGAAGCTTCTATCTATAGTAGTTGAGAAGAGTCTTCCCGATTGCATCCTTCCCTTATCTCTCACTTAGCAGTTCTTCATTACTATTCTTGTTTTATTTTATTTTTGTCTTCCTGGCTTCTGGGGGGAAAGAGGAGTATAAAACAGGCAGTTTATGAAGAACTTAACAGTTTCCACCTTGCCATCTGGGTAAAATCAGGAAATGAATAATTAACAGATGTGTCATAGAATAGTTAGAAAGAATAGTGATCAAAAAGGCTTGAAAAGACATTTCAAAATTCGTGGAAACTTCCAGTTACATATTTTGCCTTCTGTTCATCTTTGTAAACTTTTTTCCCCCAGATTGAGTGTGATTCTTTCTTCCCAGCTGGAACTTTCAGCCTTGTCCCCAGGACCAAAGGCTTAGTCAGTATCACTTTGCAGAGAACATTTTTCAGTGTCCTAGTATCCTCACCTTGGCACTCAATAGGGGATAGTCAGCACTGCCCTGTGGCCCAGAGCGAATTAATTGTGTAGCTATCAGAGTTCTGCAGTAACAAAGGGGAAAGGGCAGAGAATGGAACCAAGAGATCATTCAGAATGGGGTTCAAGCTGTGAAGCGGTGCCCAGCCCCCTCCTTTCACAGCTGGGGTTTTGGCAGTGTGTCCCTGGGGTTGTTCAGCATGGTGACCCCGGCTGCCTGTGATTTACTAACTGTTTTACAAACATTTCCTCACTCTGGGAGGTTTGATATACTCTTCATCCTCCTCAGCTCACCAGAATCACTGGGTCTTTGAGCCAAACCTGCCTTTGTTTACAACTTTTCCGGAAATTTTCACAGAGGGGGAAAAAAACCCTCCCTCCTCTTTCAGTGTTTTATTTTTAAGTCAACACTTTCGCCAAGTTTATTTGTGCTAAACCAAATTCTCCTACAAGGTATTGCTCTATATACAAATGGGAATTGCTGCATTTCTATAAATAGAATGAAGGTCATGTGAACGAGTTCAGAAAAATCTAGATATCACACTTTACATTTAGTTCACTATTTTTTGAAAATAATATTCCATGTTTGGATTTGTCTTTTTTTCCCACATTCACATTAGACTGAGAATTATGTGAAACATTGAATTTGGGAAACATTGAGTGGAATCTTTTTATACTAAAATACCCATGTTAAAAATAACAAAATTTGTTGTTGCTCCATCACTGTAACTTTCTGAAAGAGAGAGTTTGTACCCTAGAATATAATTGCCTTTGAAAACATAAGCCAGGTTTATTTTATTTGAATCTAATTCCCATTATGTTATCCAGTCTTTACATTGATTGAGAATGAGAAAATACTTTGGGACTTATTAACATCAAAACATTTTGAAGAAAAAGAGTGATAGGATGAAAACTTAGGAAATCTGACTGTATCTGAAATCAAAGACTAACTTCTCATCCATGCTGAGAAGTTAGGTAGCAAGTTCTAATAACTATGGAATGCATTACCCTTATTCTGTTCTGTTTCCCTAGCCGACTCTTAAAATGAAGGCACAGTCATAAGACTCATAAAGAAGTGACTTTCTTTGAAACTTTTCTGTCAGGGAAATGGAAGGAGAATTGTTTTCTCTTTTCTAATCAAAAATAGGTTGAAACTGGGGGGAAAAAACAGATATTATTTCTTTCCTCCTTTTCTGTCTTCTAGAGCCAGAACAGAGTATATCTTAAATTGAATACAGCCAGAAAGCAGTTTCCTGATAAAGTGTGTTTAGGAAGGAAAAATTGTTTTATTTCAACAAATGCAGCTGGATTTCCTGGTGGGCCTCCCACATCGTCAACATCAATAGCATTTATTTGTTGACCAACAGAAGACCACCAGAATGAGGTATTTCCATTTCGGCATACTTCTAATTCTACAAGGAAGATAGCTGTTGAGGGAGCTAGTATAAAGAAAATGGCAAACAAACACCATAGGTGATCCTGTGTGACATTCAGGAACCACTGCAGACTTCCAGTGCTCAAGACATTCTCCTCAGCCATAATGTCGTTGACCTTGACATGCTCAGAACAAATTGGTCTTTGTGATTGCTACCACATGCTGTAGTGCCTTCTAACCCTGCCATTGGTCTAGAGTGAAGGGGGCAGGAGAAAGGGCTGCTCATCAGAGAATAAGCTTCTTTATGTTCTTTAGACCCTTGCCCAGCATGCTTTTCACTCTGGTTAATCTTAAAATGGCCATTTTCTTATAATAAAGTGTCCTAAGCTTTGTAGAATCTGTGCAGTGTACCTAGTTTTATCCAAATGCTTGATAGGTGAATTGTCTTTGTATTCTTAAAATGTGAACTGTTTCAGGAGCAGAGTTTAACTGGCAGACGCAACCATAAAGACAGCCTTTATGCTCAATTTAGAAGATAATTTATTGTCCCAATATGTAGCTCTGTGTACCCATCAGACCAATAGAATCTGAGCTTTTAAAGGAAAAAAATGATATCTCTTTCCCAACTAAAGAGTCAACTGAAGAGAGCAGTTAGCATATTCTGAATAATAGATCTCTTTTACTTCTCTTCCATAGGTTTTTCATTTATCTGGGGATATTTTCACAGGTTCCAGCCAATGAACGTTTGTGTTAGGCCCCTCTGTTTCTAGCACTCTAGTTGTGAGCACTTAATAAATGTTTGTTGAGTGAATGAATGAATGAGTGAGCCCTGCACAATTCAAGATGCATGGGAGAAGTCATAATCTTAACACAATCAAATGATCACCATTAAAACATAATTGTTGAACCATATGTTTGTCTTCGTTTTTTAACTAAAATTTATACGTTAACTCTGGTAATGTGTACCTTGGCACATACAGTGGAGGATGGCCAGATATGTGAACAGCAAACATGCTCAGGGCATCCTAGGGCATTCTCTAGTAATGAGATACTGCATCCTGTCCACAGTGTTTCGCATATTCGGAATCAGAGCTGTCTAAATGATTCCATAGTGCAAGGAGTAACTTTTCTTAATGTTTTACAATAAGTAAGGTCATATTTTATCTTGGTTTGTATATATCTCTATAAATTACATTATTCCTTGTGGAACTATATAAATGAATAGCTATAATATTAACTAAAATTACATTTTTATGTCAGTGGGTAGTTCCCCCCCCCCATAAGTATATTAGTTTTTACTTTGATTCTATCAAGTTTTTTTTTTTTTCAATTTGATGAATTCTGTATAGATCCAAAATAGGTGACAGAGGAACAAATGACATGTAAGCAACAAAAGGAGTATATTATTTGAGTGCCTCTTTTGTTGAAGGAACATTATTCGTATTTGTTCTTGGCATGTTTTCCAGGTTCTCTGTACATATGCTCTTGCAGTGTGCCAAAGGTAGCAGAGATATTTCTTGAACTTAGTTATTGTATTGCCTACTTACAGACATTTTACTTTTCACAATATTTTATTTTTTCTAAAGCTGGGCTGTCTTTTTCCAGGGACAAGAGAATTTTCTTCTTGATACTCTGCTAAAGCCCTGCTAAGGCTCTGACTCACCTTGACTTTAAATCCATAATTTAGTTGTTAACAGTATTACTGATAAATACCAAATCACCAAATAAAAGAAACATGATAGTAAGTTTCATTAAAGAGTTGAGGGTCTTCCTTCTGTTTTGGACATCTCTTATCCTCCACTTGACTTTAACTTGAATCTCACTAGTCCAGCTTAACTTGAGGATATGCTGAAAAGGAAGAGGGCAAATCAAAGCACATGGTCATCCTAAACGCTAATATCAGAGACTCCCCGTTTATAAATCTATTAGGTCCATACTTCCATAAGGAAAGTGGGTATCCATGTTGTTGTCAGATGCTCCCCCAGAGACAGCCTCAGACACATTTTGTTCCCCAACAGAATTAGAAGGAAAAAGTCTGCTTAGCTGTCTTTTCCTGTTTACAATACAGCTGCCCCCTGAAGCAGAGCCGTTGTCGGCAGCTCACCAGCACGCTCTGCAAGCTTGCGGTACAAGTCTATGATATAAGTGGTGTGGAGTGGTTTTGTTGCTAAGGAAAAGGTGCTAAAAAAAAAAAAAAAAAAAAAAAAGGCTGTATCTCTTGTATAGCTCAGATCCTTTGGGTATTTAATGTACAGTTTCAACAAAGGACACTCAGAATTATACCTCTGGTTCCAAATTGCTTAAATGTTGAAACATATGGTCTCATGTTCCTTTCGTTAGGAAACAACCAGCTGTTCTCAGCCTGCCAAATCCAAGTAAACATCCACTGTGTGGAAGAGTGAATCTGAAGTGGTTCAGTAAAAACATAAAAGCTGTTTTTGCTGAAGAAAGAAAAAAAAAAAAGGCCACCCCGAAACAACAGCTAGTGAAGGGAAAAAAAAAAAATCCTGTTCTGATAACGTGTTTTCCCTGGCTTGCTAGTACTGGCCTGTGGCGGAGGAATGGCTCTGGAGATGTTTCAATTAAAAAAGATTGGTAGGCATCCTTGTTTGTCTTCCATGAGTGAAATCTTGTGATTGTCTCAGATTTTAATAAAATGCAATTATTCTGAATAATTAATTTCTTTGACTACGCCACCGTGTCCTCCATTCACAGAGGCGAAAATGTTAAAGATCAAATAGATTGGGAGAATAGGAAAATTCTCATTATGATGGGGAGGGGAGGAGGGAAAGGATGAAATACTTGGAATTTCAGCGCAGTGGTTTCTATTTATCTGAAATGTCAAGGGCAGTGTAAAATGTATTTTTAAAATGTGTTTCTGTATGGTTTGTGCCCATTCTTGGCGTGGCTGTGGCTCTACAGAGGCCATTGTTCTTTGAGGAGTATGAGGGGGTGTCTTTGTCCAAAGTGACAAAAAGAAGACTTGGAAGACTGGGCTTCCTTTGTTCCTATGTGGTGCTGTAAAATTTGGTTTGAAATTAGGACCTCAGGGAAGGACCTTCAATAGGGAGCTTTCATTTCCTGCCAGCATTTTAATCACTCTGGGGTTTAAAGTGGATGGCTGGCCAGCATAATGGCCCTATGTTTAATAGAACAGCTCGTATCTTGAAGGCCAGTTAAGGAATCTGTCATCTGCCCAATATTCGTCTTTTTTGTTTCCTGTCCATTTATGAAGATCACCCACCCTTTCAGGTGGCGTCCCTGGACCATTTTGTAGGAGAGCTGCTGCCTCTGCTTCTTAAAGAGGCTGAGCAGAGACCCGGTTGAACGTGGTCCAGCCTTCAGCCCATGCTGGAAAGATCTGGAGAGTTCACTAATTGAACATGAAGTTCACCAGGTTTGGGAGGGGAAATGTCAGGTTTCACAAAAGGACAGAATACAAGAAAGGGTAAAATTAATCCATATCTCATCAGGATTATTGGTATTTACTGACCTACTGTGTACTCACAATATCACTTCAGTGGAAGTTAATGTCATCCTATCATGCAGAAGAGGTAAAGTACAATGGATTTGATCCTGTTCTATAATAAGGAAATTTGTGAGTTTGTGATAGAGAGACTTTTTAACTCTGCAGGCTCCCTTTGGATGCAATTTTATTAAATGATATCCAGAACTCATAAAGGAGTAAATATTGAAGTCAAGTCTTAAAAGATAGGGCCAGCATTAGGAAGCAAGCGTTCTAAATTTCTTCCCTGATTCACATCTAGTGGCCAAGAGCAAAATAATATTGGTAAAAAGCCCAAGATTCACTTAATTCTAGTCTAGGATTTATCATAGTAATTGCTCTGCAGCCAGGTACTAAGCATGGTGGCAACCATAGGGTAGCTATTAAAGAGGATCACAAAATGTTTCCCTAATCCTCAGTGATAACATACATGAATGAGGGGAAGGAGGGAAGGGACTTTTTCAGCTTATTGGCACACACTCTAACCCATCTCATACCCAGGAGTGCTAAAATGGAACCCACTCTGCACACACATTTTCTTCTTTACAGGTAGATATTGGTTATCAAAGGGAAATTAAAGAATGCCTAAGCCCTATTTAGCAGAACTCAAAGAATTTTCTCTCCAAACCATCTCAGGCCAAACTGACCCACACCCACAGAGATGATGGAGCTAAGCCAGGGTCTTAGCTGCCCACAGCCTGCCCTGGGCCAGAGTCCCGGCAATGGGTGGAAGAAAGGAAAAAAGACCTAACAATGGGAAGAAGAGGGGAGGGTAGAGGGAGCTGTTGTGGAGAGTAACCTTCTGAGGCATTCTTGCTCATTCAGAAGAAATGGAATGACACTAAAACTCTCCGAAAAGAGTGGTGGTGAAACCAGCTCCCTTCATTTTTTCCCCTCTGTAATCAGTAACGATTGTCTGGTTAGTTTAGTTGATAACACAATTGGCCACCAAGTGGTTGTACTTCCTTACTGACTGCGCTTGTGACCCGGAAGACTGTTCAGACAAGGATTTAAACATCCAGAGACTTTCCTGCCTCTTTGAGAGCCACTTCTGGGTCTCTTTTGACCTCTATCACCATTTGTATGGTTGCAGATTTCTGAGCTGCCCGATTTGAGCCCTTTTGAGTTGGCCTCCCTTGAATGAGTAGCTGTTTGAAAACTGATTTAAAGTGAATGTTGCTGTATGTAAGAGGCACTGGCTGAAAAGAGCAATGTCCAGAACAGCAGAGGTGGCTACAAAAGACAGGCAGGCTCTTCTGAGGTTGGTTTTGCAGATGTTCATTGGTCTAGTAGGAATTATGCATCATTAGACTCAGGATCTTTTCTTTGCATCCAGGCAGTTTCTCCATTAAAAAAAAAATGTCTCTAACATTTCAGCAAGGGAACCATCATAGTCCTTACACCAGTCTATTCCCGCACATGAAATTTTATGACTCAAATAACCATTCAGCAGCTTATGTGAAGATCCAGAGTATATTTTACTGGATACAATTTTCAGGCATAGATTTGAAGGGAAAGCTGCCCACCAGAGCAGGGCCTTAACATAAAGTCAGTATCGTCAAAGATCTGACTATAATCCTTCTCATTCAGTGTTGCAGTTTGCTGTGTGGGTGTATCTACAATGTGGGAAATTAATTTCATTGAAGAATATGAATATTTTGTAAGGATGTGAAGAGTTGCAAATAATCTTTTCTGTAATTCTCTGAGGAGGAACAAAGCAGCTAATGTTTGAAAGAACTGGTACACGATTGTTTTCTGTCATTTGTAAAACTGAAAAGGAATATTCTAGACTTAACAGATTTATATCCTCAACTTGTTGCTCTTTAAAGACTGTATATATCTTGCTTAAGGAGCATACCTGTGAAAAGATCTGTTCTGCTGGAAGGATATCCTCTTTTGAAGCCCAAATAGTGTTAAAATAATATAATATACAATAGAAACTACAAATTCTTTGTCTATACCTAGGTGCTTCTAAGAGGCACTGCTACATTAGCAAAATGAAAGGCATGGAATAAAATTAGACAGATACGTATATACGTGCATACTTGAATATACTGACATATATGTAATATTACATATAATAATATATAAATAAATATATAACATATATTTGTGTGTGTGTGTGTGTACTCAGTCTGGTAGAGTTAGCCAGGATGCCTTCATTTTTGTGGACCTTGCTTTAGGTAGTGAGATTACACCAGCCGTAATTGTAACTAAGGTAATTATTAGACTCAGTGCTAGTTTTCAATTTCCATTTCACAGCCTCTCTTTAGAGTCACGTTAGAAAATGGGCTGGCCTTTGTGGCTGTCCCATACCTAGGGAATAGCATTTGGCCAGCATTGTTTCGATGGCTCTTTTTTGGGGAAATTCGCCTACATTTATATATCCTTCAAGTCCTGCTTCCTTTCAAAAGCCTTTCTTGACAGTACGTCCTTCATTTGGCTAATAGTTAAAAGCAAAGGCTTATATGTTTTAGAATTGAATCCTGACCAGATAGTTACCTTCTTTGAGGTAGGACCCATGCCTCCCTCTTTGTATTCCTCAGAACCTAACGTGCAGTTCAGCACCTAAGTAGGGGTTAGTTTCCTTTGCTTGTTAAATTATTATCGAAATATTTTCCATGTAAGAAGAATAAGTCACGAAGAGAATGTTATTATTTGTTTAACTGACAGGAAATTTAAAGCACAACTGGTGAAAGAACCATCTTACCTCAAGCGCCTAGAAGAATTATCTCCCTTTGCCTCTTGTGTAGGTTGTATCTCATCTCTCTTTCTAACCTTTACCTGTGTTATATTTGCATATTTTTAAAAATCACAGTTATTTTTGAAAGTAGCAAAAGACGAAGGGTGAATGTATAGACAGAAGGACAGGTGGACATTTATGGCGGAGATTGGATTAGAACTCACAGATTTTGAATTTTCTGGATGGGTTTAGTGCATTATAAATATCAAACCATAGCAGCTCCCAGCATGTGATTACAAGGGAGGAAGGGAAGGAGGAACTGAATGAGATATTAAACTCTGCCTTCTGTCCTTTGGGAATTGTCCAAGGATACAGAGAAAGGCCTATAATAATGTAGTATAAAGGGAAGGTGAGTGAGGAATTATGGCAGCCAAATGCCTCCCAAAGTGAAAGGCAAGAAGAGTGGTAGCTACAAGTGACAGCTTGATTTAACAGTGGGCTAGAGACTAACCTCACAAGACTGCTTGCATGGCTGATTTCAAAGCTCATTCCGACTGTAGTTATACCCCTACTCCTCACTTAACAACTATCTCATTATCCGACATTTCACATTTATGACAATAGTAAAAAATCTACTATCTGAATATTCATCTCACTATTTTACATGTTAACGAGGTGGCAGGCATGGCAGCAATGGCTGCAGCGTGTCGTTTCCCTCAAGGTCGGCCTCCTGACAGCCTCCAGGAAGCTGGGCTGTGCTGCCCCTCCACCTTCGCTCCCTCCTGCCAGCGGGCCACCCATCCAGCTGCCATGGTGGGTGAGGGGGCAGCCTCCTCCATGGTCACAGCCTCTGAGCAGACACGAGGGCAGCACCGAACCAGCAGGCAACTATTCTGAGTTCCCATCACCTATGTGGCCTGAGGCCCTATAGCTCAAAATTGCTGCGGGGTGGGAAGGGAGGAAAGAAGCATCGGAGAGGGAGTTTGGAAGAAATGCATACAAATTTAATGGCATCCCAAAGTGAGCCGAACTGAGCCTGAAGCCTCTGCCTTGGTGGCACCGGGTGTACTGCCAGGCTCCTAGGGCTCTCGCAGGAAGCCACGAGCGTCAGTGACTCTCCAGGCCTGGAGGGCAGAGCAGGCTCCAGGATCCTGAAGTCAGGGCTTGTAGGGGTGGGAGTGGAGCCCTGGAGATGGCTTCTCAAGGGAAGCTCTAACCTAGCACAGGAGGAACGTGAAGTGGTTAAGCCATGGGCCCTCCAATCACACAGCCCGGGTTTATCCAGCTTTGTCTCCTCCAAGCCTCCTTCTCTGAGGAATAATCCATAACTTGACTTGTCACAGTGATGAGCACATCAATAGATCTTAGCTCTTATTATTTCTATGATCATATTTT